TAGCACAGCACAGCCTGGATCTCCAGCCCAGGACCTAGTGGGGTAGGACAGGTGGTGCTGGCTGTGGGTGGGTATTAGGGAGATCTGGCTGGCAGAGCCCCCTGTGGCCCGGGTCTCTGCCACTCCCTTCCTGTCACGGTCTCCACAGGCAGGTGCAGCTGAGGCCCTGGCTGTGCAGGAGGCTGGAGGATACGAACTGCCCTCCTAGGACTGGCCCTGCAGACAGTGTTGTCTCTGGCCCGTGAAAGAGCCTGAATTATTCCCTACTCCAGCTCTCTCCACTTCAGGCACAGGCCCAACTGGCCGAGGCTGGGCTGTGCAGGCGTAGCCGGTTGGGGTACTGCGTGCCTGGGTTCAGCTATGCCGGGTGAGAGGCGAGGAGGCCACTGTTAGTCATAGCCGTAGCCTGGCCTGGCCTGGCCATGTGGATCCTGAGTTCTGCCGGACAGCTTGGGTGGGAGGAGCTGCGGGGGGAAGGTGAGATAGCTGTGCTTCAGGACACATGGTGACCAGCCTGACCTGGGGCAAAGTGAGCTTGCATAGCTCCAGCTGCCCCCTGATATTGTTGTTGGGCTGGCATGTGCCTAATTTAAGCAGACAGGGAGATCTGCAAAGGCCAGGGTCTGGGTTTTGGGCCTGCTGTATTCAGGGGCACACCCTAAGGACTTTGGATTGCCCCAGTAGCATGTGTCCGAAGGCCCTGTAACCATCCTGTCTTCTNCCGATCCCATCTCTGGTGGAGTAGTGTGTTGACAAACCTAGTGAGCAGAAGCAGAGGCCTCGCCATGACGTTCTCGGCTTTGGGCCTGAGAATGTGGTGGCTGCGTTGCACGCTCTCAGTCCCGGATCCTGAGTTCTGCCGGACAGCTTGGGTGGGAGGAGCTGCGGGGGGAAGGTGAGATAGCTCTGCTTCAGGACACATGGTGACCAGCCTGACCTGGGGCAAAGTGAGCTTGCATAGCTCCAGCTGCCCCCTGATGTTGTTGGGCTGGCATGTGCCTAATTTAAGCAGACAGGGAGATCTGCAAAGGCCAGGGTCTGGGTTTTGGGCCTGCTGTATTCAGGGGCACACCATAAGGACTTTGGATTGCCCCAGTAGCATGTGTCCGAAGGCCCTGTAACCATCCTGTCTTCTTTTCCTCAGACTATAATAGTGGAGGCCGCAGCGGAGGGAACAGCTACGGCTCAGGTGGCTCGTCGTACAACCCAGGGTCACATGGGGGCTACGGCGGAGGTTCTGGGGGCAGCTCGTCATACCAAGGCAAACAAGGTGGGCCTCGCAGGTGACGTGAGGGGGACACAGCAGTGTGAGTGGGGCTGTAATGGCAGCTGCCCCCCCGGCTTCTGTGTGGGGCCCTGTGAGAACACAGGCTTGGGCCACTACCAGCTGTCCAGGCTTTTCTGGAGAAGCCAGAGTGCCAGTATTTGCCTTCCTCTGAAACACTGGTACTTGCGTGAAGAAATACTGATGACACTGAGGGTCACACAGAGGGGTGATCTTAAGCTGTGATCTGTGGTTTAGGATGGCAGGTCCAGGCAGCCTCTAGTTCTGTGGCTGAGCAAGTCACCACCACCCACCCCCCAGATGCCAGTGTCATAGTGGACAGGGTATGGGTGACAGTCCCGATGATGTGTGAGAGGCACTTAGCACAGGGCAGAGCAGGAGCCCGTGAGGCTGCCCACCTGCGTTCTCAGTTCTAGCCCCTCGTCTGGGGATGCTGCTGAGGGGCTGACGTGCCAAGCCCCTCACCTCTGACCACCCCTCTCTCTCCTAGGAGGCTACTCATCACAGTCCAACTACAACTCCCCCGGGTCCGGCCAGAATTACAGCGGCCCTCCCAGCTCTTACCAGTCCTCACAGGGCGGCTATGGCCGAAACGCAGACCACAGCATGAACTACCAGTACAGATAAAGCCCCGGGGGTGAAGACTCGAACCTTCTGCACTTACTCCTCCCATTGGAAGATTCAGTTTCACGCACCAGTTAACATGTCAGCGGCCCACCAGGCCCCGCCCCCACCCCGTCCACGTGGCCGTGTTGTGAGGTGCAGGAGTCACTCCGTGGCCTGTCCTGTGACCCATATTTAGCCGTGTTTGGGACTCTGTGTCTTCAGTGGTTTGTTAGTTGCCATTACCACTTTGTCGAGGTAGAGTTTTTGAGTTCTTACAGTTCAGTGTCCCTCTGTCCATTTACGATTGGTGTCAGAGTTAACTCAGTTTGTCTATAAATAGTGACGGAAGGGATACGTCATCTGTTCATGCTTTTGTGAAGTGAGTTAAACAAGCTTTCTGTATTTTAATGCTTTAGTGTTTCAGTTTTATAAGTGAAGATTTTATTTTAAAAACCAGTGGGAAAGAGTGGGGTTTTTTTGTATGTCTGGATCATTCAGGCAGTACATCTGAATTAAGCTGAATGTAGACAAATAAAGAAAAAGAAAACTGCGCCCGTCTTAGGCCTGGGTGTCTGGCCCCCCAGCGATGTGATGGGCAGGTTCCTCTGCTCTGTTCCCACTCTAGGGAAAGCAGCGTTGGGGATGGCAGGATGGTCCCTGGTCACCAGAGAGAGTCCAACTCCAGGCCTCTTGACAACTTTACTCTGAGCTCAGCTGGTGCCAGCTACTGGTTCCCTGGGATCTTGCAGACCTGGTGTCCTGATGGGCTCCCAGCTCCAGGCAGTCTGCAGAGCTACCTGTGGTGGCTTCCAGTTCTCACAAAACTCAGGCATGCATTGTTTTCTGCCCTGTGAATTCTGGTGTAGTTTTAAGTGCAACTTTATGTGATCATGGAGTTAAGTGGCCCAATAGGGTCCACGTAACCCAGTTTGAAAAGGGCAAACTATGTAACCCCAGCCAAAGGCTGTCTGTGCCTCCCAGAGGCTCCAAGTAGGGAATTGGGGTTCTTTTCCATTGCCTGGAGGTTTTTTTACTCCAGCAGGTTTCCCTAGAGTAGTGATTCTCAATTTGAGGCAATTTTTATCTCCTGGGGCAATTCTGCAATGCCTGGGGAACATTTGCCCCAACTCATGGGTACTCTTGGCATCCAGTGGGTAGAGGATGCTGCTGAACATCCCATACTGCACAGAATAGTGCCCCACAACAGAGAACTCTCCATGCCAAAATGTCAACAGCATGGAGGTGGAGAAACCCCACCCTAGGGTGGCCCATCTCAGCTCTGGCTTTGTGCAGAGTGGTGTGGGGGTTACAGGGATAGCGCTAAAGTGACCTTTATCCAGGCCCCACTTCAGCCTGTCTGGAAAGAGTCCTGCCTGCCAGGCTGGGACCGCACCTCTCCAGAGACCTCAGCTTGACAGCTTCCTGCAGGGTTGGGAGCCGCTTCCCTACCCCTCAGACCGGGTGCTCTTGCTGGCCTGAGCCGCAGGCCGTGCTCAGTCTCCCATGTTCAGGGGACCGTGGCCATTGGTAGAAGTGAAAACCATTCTCGACTCAATTGCTCAGCTGATGCAGAAAATCAAGTGTGCTTTTGAAGGGTGAAGATTTGTCTTCTTGAAGAGGTGAAAGAAAGTGGGTCTGTGCTAAAAATGAAAACACTGGAGGAATTCTTTCTGCTGGAGCAGGGGAGGCCCTGTGTACCAAGTGGCCCAGCCCAGGGAGAGACAGGAAGAAGAGGTGGCCATGTGAAGCCAAGCTAAGAGGCGGCACCACCCACAATGCGAATGTTCGAGTTCACCTGATGTGCCCTGGCATCCCACCAGTGCAGCAGTGACAGAGGGATGAGGACAGTCCCGAGGGATGGCCCCAACCCCGACATTGATGGGAAGTGACTTTGATCCATCTCTACCAGTTACATCCAGGGTCTGGGCCAAAAAGAGACTCATCCAAAATCACTGGTTTCTGGAGCTTGAGGCGAGATGATACGGGCACAGCACTCAGAAACCCATGGGGAGGAACATCCTGGCCCCATTTGCCAGACCCCTCTGGACTCCAGACGAGCATCTGTGTTCTCAGTTGAAATGGATTCACGCCCACTGAGAATCAGTGGCAAATACCTGTCCCAATGGGACAGCTCCTGATCGGTGCCTTTGGTGCCCTAACTCCACTTGGGGGCCTCACTGGTGCCAATGGTGCTGTGGTGCAGGTGGCCAGTGGCAGTATCCCAGCCGTCAGAAGCTGCTACACCAGGAGGCTGGGTTCAGGAAGATGTGGCTGTCACCTTGAGCAAAGACAAGGCCTGGCAATGGTACTTCATACATTTGAAGCTGACGAAGGCCTCCAGGCTGGTGGTCTTCCCAACCCAGAAATCCGACCTGGGGGAGGTCCTCTGCTAAGGTCTAGCAACAGGTGGGCAACAGCTGGCTTACAGTGAAGAGACACCTGAGCCAACCTGGTTCAGGTGGATGGTGTCCTGTGGCTTTCAGTCACCAACCAAGGCCACCAGGAATATCAGTGGGAAGGACAGGGGGCCCACACTCTTCCTCACAAGTGGACAGGATGGGTACTTGATAGGTAGGCCATGGGGGTCAGTGACCAGGGACTGGGCACATACCATGCCAGGGGGCTCAGGAGGACTCTGGAGGGAAGGAGGGGAAAGGGACCACATAACTAAACACCTGCGTGGTTGTTTGAGATGACATTGTCGGGAGGGGCAGGCGTGGCAGGGAATTGGGCTGATCCCAGGGAAGGATGTTTCTAGGACCAGCAATAAGGGGCACAGACCCAGGGTTTCCATCTCTAGATTTAGTGGAGCCACTTGGGCCTTGCTTGTCCCTCTGGGCTGCATGGGTCAGCCCAGCTGCCAGATTACCCTCTGTCCTGGCGGGGAACCACATACCACTCCTCTGACCACTGACCATTCTTGTGCAGTCAGGGTCTGCCCCAGCTCAAAGGACCTGGCCGCCCTGCAGATGGGGTGTCAGCCTCCGGATTCAGTCTCCAGGTGGGATTCTCACATTGGCCTGAGACCTCTGGAACAGCAGCAAGCTTTATTGGAGGCTTCAGTGCTCACTCTAACTGTTCACTGAATAAAGGGAGACTTAGACTTTGGTTGTTTCATTCACTCAACATGTGTTTATTGGGTGGGACTTATACAAAAGGAGGGAGTGGTGAGATGTATGGCTGGAGGGTGGTGGGGGGGAGCACCGCATGCAGGGTGTTGACAGCCAGGCAGAGGAGTTCTAACCTTATTCTGATGGCAATGGTGAGCCATAAAAGGGATTGAGAGCTGGGAAAACCGCAGGCTGATCTGTGCTTCATAATAGTTCTTTGGGCTGTTGGGCAGAGCAGGTGTGGCAGAGTAGGGCTAGCTGAGAATGAAGTTCTGGAACATCTGAGCTGAGGTTCAGTGATTTAGGTGGCAGAGTCCACTGGACTTGATAAGAGAATAGCTCCTGGACATGAGAGGGTTGAAAACTGGGTCCCTTAAAGACATGTCCTTGGAAGGAGAGGAGCCCAGATTCACTGACCCACCCCAATCTTCTGTGGGGAGACAAGCAGGACCGTCCAGAGAGTGACCTCTGGGGTGGCCACGGAGGTCATTCCCCTGAGATGGCAAGTCATGGGCCAGAGGTCTTCCCAGCTGGCTGCTTCCAAGATTTGGCATCTAAACTCAGCCTGGTTGTCACAGGGCTCTGGAAGGCGGGAATATCACAGAGGGACAGCCCCCACAGCTCAGTTGGATAGATCAGAAAACATACTCCACGCTTCCGTGACGACTTCCCGACCTCTAAAGGCTTGAAGGATCCCATTTCAACGTTAGAGGTGTTCCAAACCCCTAACCTTACTCTTCCGGAGATTCTGGACTCCCCACTCAGTTCTCTGAAATCCTGCTCTGGCCAGCCTGGGATTCAGGACCTCAGTGCCCGCTCTCTAAGGCCAATCACCTCGCTCCCCATTTGGGGGCTCCCCAGGGTAGCCACGGACGATACCAGAGAATACAAGGTTGGGGGATTTCAGGGCCCCTAATCTTGGTCACGTACCTGGGGTGATGCTCAGTCCTCCCTGCGAAGTGCACGGAAACCGCGCCAGGCCAGCCTCCGCAAGCACCAGGCCTTCCAAACCTACTCGCCCCTGGGCCGATCTGCGCGCACCACCCCTTCCGAGCCCGATCAAGCTCCGCCCTCAGTAGAATCTCTTAGGCTCCGCCGCTGGGAGTCCCGGCCCTGTGAACTAGGACCGCTTTGTCATTGCGCCGTCAACAAGCTCTTCTGATAGGATGCTTCCGCAGGCCCCGCCCCCGAGGCGACCGCTTTTCTAGTCTCCAGGCAACGTGCGCGGAGCTGTCCGCCGTGCTGAAGCCGCGCTCCCATTGCCTCAAGGGGCGGGCTCAGGGCGCCCCAGCCTTCCTGGCTGAGCAGCGCCAACGCTGAGAAGCAGGTGCCCCTGGGCCTCCGCTGCTTCCTCCCCACCCTCCAGTTTATCTGTTGGTTGTAGAGCTCACTTCCCTCCAACCTCCTATAAGAAAGCCTTACCTTCCTATCTAGCTCTGGGAAAAGCCAAAGTCCTTGCCTCGGATCACAGGGCCTTGCAAGACCTCGCACTGTCACTTCCCTCCATCTCTTGCTCCCCTCCTCTCAATCCCTCCAGCTACACCGACCTCCCTGCACTACAAACAATTCAGAACAATCCAGGCATATTCCCTGACCTGGGCCTTTTCTCTTACTGTCTCCACTGACCTGAATAATCTCAGATCTCGGCATGGCTTCTCCCTCATCTTTTCAAGCCTCAATTCAAGTAGCTCATCAGTAGCCGGGTCTTGACTCTCTACTTAAAATAGTCATCTCCCAACTCCTTCTATTCTCCCCTGCCCTCTTATTTCCCCACACTTATCACCTTGTGACATGTACGTTTTACTTATTTATCTTTGTTCACTCTTCGAAGGCATAAATTTTTGTCTCTTGTTCACTGTTGTGTTGCCAGGAGTGAGAACAGTGCCTGGCACAGAGTGGTAGCTCATAAACGTTTCTTGGATGTATATTCATGAATGTTTTGGGGTACTTACTGTGTCCTATGCCCTGTGCATTTTCACAGTGACCCAGAGTACCATTTCAAAGATGAGAAAACCAAGGGTTGGACCGTTATCTCAGTTGGTTAAAGCTCAGTGTTATAACACCGAAGTCAAGGGTTCAGATCCCCATACTGGCCAGCCACTAATAAACTGTGTTGTTTTTCTTAAATGAGTAGATTGGCCATGTGTTGATAATTGTTAAAGCTCTTCCTGAGTACAAGGCGTTCATTACGCAACTCTCATTACTTTTGTCTGTGTTTGAACAACATGTAATAAAGAATGTCAGGTGACACAGAGATCTCCAGGAGGGGTAGAGAACCAGAACTGGGGTCTACACAGCCAGGAGTGGTATACCCAAGCCCACTTGAGAAATAGCCCAGTGAAGAAACCTTTGTCACAGTAAATGACTGCATGCAAAGACCATAGCTGGCTCTGCAAGGATCATTGTGGCTGTACATCAGATTTGCTACCCCCTATACGTTTCCCTGGGTGTAGCTTCAATTGCATGTCTTAAGTTTTGACGTGAAGCATTCTTATTTCCATTAATCCCTGTAGCTTGGATGTAGTTGCCTCCAACCCTGGTCCCTAATGGATTATAGCCCAGGAGCCTGTTTCTTGTCATTGGCCTTTGATCCAAATTGTGATTGACAGAACCAGAGCCTTGTGTTGTCTGGCTGCCCAGGTGGAAAGTATCTGGCAATGGCAAATTCTGTCAACAGACACGATATTCCCTAGTCACAGGGTTGAGCAAAGGGAGTTTGGTGTTAGGTAGCCAAAAAAATAAAAAAATAAATAAAGAAATAAAGAAAAAGCAGGGGATGTAGCAGTTTCAGAAGAGCAAATCCAGGCAACCCTTAATCCAATTTGTATTTGCTTCTGTTCGCATGAAGAAATCCTAGAAGGACACAAGAATCTAATAAAAGAGACTACAGGGAAAGTCTGAGGCGGAAATTGGGTAAATGGGGTGGGAGTTTGTTTGCCTTTTACACTTACTTAATTTTTCTACATTTTAAAATATGAAGCTGTTCAGTTAGCTCAGTTGGTTAGAGCATGATGCCGATAACACCAAGGTCCAGGGTTCAATACCTGTACTGGCCAGCAATAAATAAATAAAATGCAAAATATTAAAAATAGGGGAAAGTGCATAAAACAGAAAAGTACATTTCTGTTTCTTTTTGCAGCTGGCTGGTACAGGGATCTGAACCTGTCACCTTGGTGTTATAAGGCTACATTCTTTTTTTTTTTTTTTTTTTTAAAGATGACCGGTAAGGGGATCTCAACCCTTGGCTTGGTGCTGTCAGCACCACGCCCAGCCAGTGAGCAAACCGGCCATCCCTACATAGGATCCGAACCCGTGGCCCTGGTGAGATCAGCACCGCACTCTACCGAGTGAGCCACGGGCCGGATAAGGCTACATTCTAACCAACTGAGCCAACTGGCCAGTCATAGAAAAATACATTTCAGTGAAGAATCCTGTATTGGTTAGAATGTGGTGCTGATAACGCAAAGGTCCAGGGTTTGATTCTTACACCAGACAGCCACCCCCCCAGAGTGAGCCACGGGCCGGATAAGGCTACATTCTAACCAACTGAGCCAACTGGCCAGTCATAGGAAAATACATTTCAGTGAAGAATCCTGTATTGGTTAGAATGTGGTGCTGATAACGCCAAGGTCCAGGGTTTGATTCTTACACCAGACAGCCACCCCCCCCAAAAAAAAATTGTAGTCACACCCTCCAAAGACCACCCTTTTGTATGTTGGTCCACATGAAAAATAAATAAAATATAAAACTTCAAAACAGTAAATTAAAAGAAGTGCTGAGCTTTACAACCATGTTGAATTTTGCTGCGAAATCACCTAAGTTGCGTAATAAGAGATGTTAGTAAATGGCTCAAACAGCTGAAAAGATGTTCAACCTCAGTTACAATCAAGGCAATACAAATTAAAACCCCGATAAGATGCCATTTCACACAGACCTGTTTGGCAAAAGTTAAGAGATCTAAAAATACCAAGAAGGGCCAGCCTATGGCTCACTTGGGAGAGTGTGGTGCTGATAACACCAAGGCCACGGGTTCAGATCCCTATATAGGGATGGCCGGTTAGCTCACTTGGGAGAGCGTGTTGCTGACAACACCAAGTCAAGGGTTAAGATCCCTTTACTGGTCATCCTGTAAAAAAATAAAAAATAATAAATAAAATTAAAAATAAAAATTCCAAGAGCTGGCAAAAAATGAGACATAAAGAGAGCTTTTCTACCCTGCTTTGTATCAGCTGGTGTAATCACATTGACAATAGGTTGTCAAGGCTGGCCAGTCAGCTCAGTTGGTTAAAGCGTGGTGCTAATAACACCAAGGTCCAGGGTTCGATCCCTGTACCAGCCAGCTGCCAAAATAGGAAGAAAGGAAAGAAGGAAGAACAAAAGAAAGAAAAAAGGTGGTCCCACTTTGTATAGTTGAATACCCACCAGGTCTAGAGTCCAGCAGTTTTATTCCTGGGATTTTTGCAGAGGTGTACAAGGAGATGTGTACATGAATGTTTGTGGGCAGTATTGTTTATGGTAGGAAAAAGACAAACAGATACAAACAAACAAAATACTGAAAAGTCCACAAGTCCATTGACTGGAGAATGGATAAATTCATTGTGATATATTTATAGCAGTACATACTTTTATATTGGTTTACAGAAGAAATGAACAGATTACAACTGCACACAACACAAGAGACTCTTAGAAGTATAACCATAAGTAACATAAAGCAAGTCACAGGGGGTAGGTATGATAGAATATAATTTTGCTAGTGGAATACATGTGGAAGGACAACCAGCAGTTTCTCCCACACCTTCTTTTTGCCATTGAATTAAAAGAATTGATATGAAATGTATTAGAGTAAGTCGTAAGGTTTTGGGACATTGTTTGCACAATTCCAAGAGTTAACAATCCATGACAAGTGGAAAATGACAGTTCAGAAACTCCATTATTTTATAATGACAATACTGAAGCTTCTACAAGAAACAAAAAAACCCCATTAGTATATCTAAATTAATACATCCAATATGAAACAACAGCAGCAATAATTTTTAAATTTGCTTGTTGTGCCGGCCCGGTGGCGCACTGGAGAGTGCGCCGCTTGGGAGCACGGCGGCGCTCCTGACGAGGGTTCAGATCCCATGTGGAGACCGGTTCCCGCTCACTGGGTGAGCGCGGTGAGGGCGCAACACG